AAAGTAAAAGAAAATCCCAAATTTTCGGTTGTCCCCAGAGAAGTAATAGGGGGGAAATGTTCCAATGGGAACACTAGTTCTAGTGACCTGGAGATCCCCAAGGTTTTCCCTCAATATGCATGGATTTCTTCTAACTTCCTGTTTGGCTATGGGACAGGAAGTAAAGGGAAATCTTTGCAACGAGACAGAGATGGTGAAAAACAAATTGGACAGGGCTTATAACCCTCCCTTACTCTATCCAAAAAGGAAAAAAAAAGTTTTGTCTATCTTCTACTTTAATATCAGAATCCACCCAGATGTCTGACCGGTAGCTGACTCAGCTTTCTGCGTTCCGCTGAGGGCCGGAGCAAGCTGTTCCTGCCCCCTCCACAGTCAAGCAGGCCAAAAGAGCTACTGGCCCTACACAGTGTCTATGTACTAATGCTAGCCGCATCAGGATTAAAAATAGTTAATGTTGACTGAGAAAGTTTAGCTCTGCTTTAAAGTTTACCATACACGTTACAATCTTACTGTACAATCTTTGTACAATCAACTTTAGATTTACCAAAACTGGGTAATATGACCAATCAATTTGTATACCATCAGGCAAACCCTTATAGTACACAGATGTTTGTAGCTCTAAAGGAGATTAAACAAACAATCAGATTGCAACGTGTCTGGAAAGCTTTCAAAACTGTGGGCCCCCACAATGAAAAGCACTCTATGAATGGAAGATGGGTGGATAAATTAAAGGTCAACCTACTCCACATTGGAGGTAGCTACAGTACAGCACAGCTTCTATGAATGGAGCACGGAGGTGGATAAAGTGGGCATAGTCGACAAGTGCCCGTCACAGCTGCAGCTGCTCAATTGAACCTCGGCAGTCTGGAAGTTATCCGCTGTGGGGGTATCTGGGGCACAGGACTTCAGATTTCAACCAAACACAGCAGCTGCCAGCACATGGGACAATCTTCATTCACAGTAAGTACCATCCCTGGTACTGTGTTTGCAGCTTTAAAGTGTTACTAAACCCACAACAGTAAAATCAGTCTGTACATGCAGTAAAGCATGCTTGTTATACTCCCTGCGTAAGGGGTTAATCCTATGCATTGTGTAAAAATGCTGTTTGATCCTGACTTCTCTGATCCTACCCTTTCTCCAGTGTCCCCCTCTTATCTCCTGATAAGACATACAGTGTGGAGACACTCTGTACATGCTCAGTTTGGTGTGTTGCTAGAGAGGTTTTTTTTTCCTTGGGAAAGTGCATGTGATCAGCACAGGGCCAATCATCACTGTCCAGATAGAGGTCAGGGGTTCTGCTTCCTCCTAGAGCAGAAAGAAAACTCCTCCTACAAGCTTTAACCCGTGCTCTGCAGGACACTGATAGAAGTCACAAGGCTGCTTTAATTGCTGATGAGAAAAGGTATTTAGCAGCTTATATTTACTAAAATAATTGCATTTCCATATTCTGTGTACTGTGGGAGGCCAGATATAGTGAATGCAGGGTCCTGGGTTTAGTAACACTTTAAGGCGCATGGTCTTTAAAGTGTATGGTCAGCATTAGTCTGCCCTGACTAATATCAATACAATCAGAACAAATTCTAGCTTCCTCAGGAACTATTACAGAAGGCTTCTTAATGCACTGTCTGTGTATCAGTGAAATAACCGGTGACATATCATTTGATCATTTGGGATGGACTGTGCTCTGCGTTTTATGTCTGTGGACCAAGCAGCCATGGACTTCCCGAATGCATGCTAGATGAGCCATTGCTGGGAAAGTCCTTGTGTTCTCATTTTATATCCACAGACATAAACATGGATGCTCGATTGGTCTGAATGAAACACGTTTTTCAGTGGTTGGATTGTGCTTGTACTTCTAACGACCCTTGGGTGCCCACGGTTAGCCTCAGGCCAACAGATCTTCTGAAGTGACTGAGCATACAAATCAAATGTATCTCAATAACACGATGAAAAGCTCAGCTCTGATGTTGACTCACAGTGGCTCTCCATGGAAGACTTTTATCATGCTGTGTCCAAAACATTTCAGCTCAAGGGACAAAACAATATATGAAGATTTATAGACTGATGGAAGTATGTCTGGACTCTTCAATAAACGCACACAAAGAGAAAAAAAAAAAAAAGTGTAGAGGGAAAACTGAACACACAAGAAAATGGCATACTTGTACACAATCATAAAAATTTAAAGGTAAACATCATGCAAACAGCTAACAAAAAGCAAAACAAAAAAAAAAAAAACAGATGAAATAAAAATAAGGAAGCTGTTCTACCGACCAAAGGATTTGTATTTTGGTCAATCCAGTCTCTAGATTTAGACAGCTCTGCCACATAGCACAGCCAGGTGGATAGCCTTCTCTGTTACAGTTGGGATATAGTGTGGACATCTCCACAGCCTCAGCCTGCTGACTGGACAGAGAAAGTGCAGCAGCCTGCTCAGATGAACTTTCTACTTAGGCTCAGGGCTATGGATCAGGGGGTACCACCAGTCCTCCTGTACGGGGCCCAGGATAGCAGGGGGGCCCTGGCAGCTGGGTGAATTGTATGTGGGCAGGGTGATCAACACAGCAGGGGGGCAATTACTGGAACCGATCCCCTGAAAGCTGGCTTATTCTCCTCTCCCTCCCGCTGGCAGCTACTGCAGAGAGAGCCAGACAGGGGATAAGTTTCAGTAATAGCCCCCCACCACACCCATCACCCTCCCTTTGCACCATACATTTCCCCCTGCTTCCCAGGCCCCCCCTGTGTGCCCCCACCTCCACAGTGTTACCAGCTTCCCTCCTTTCCTTTCCACAGGCATCTGAAAGCACACAATAGGATCTTTGAGGATGGAGAGTGGGTGAAGGGCCCGGTAAATATGTCACATTTACCAGCCCTTTGTTTCCTGAATGCACACAATGAGTGATCGGTACTAATCAACCAATGTGTTCATTCATAACAGAATAATAGCAATCGGGGGGGTTGGCTTTTTTTTTTCAAGGGGGGAGGGCCCTGTCAGGTTGGCTGTATGGGGTCCTGTGGTTTCTATCTGCAGATTGCTTGCTATGTTCAGAGTAGGCTAAACAACACCTCTGAACACAGCAACACCCTGTGGTACAGCCGCATACAAACTGGCTGATTAGCTGTGGCTGGTTTGTGTGCAGCCAGAAACTTTGCAGAAATTCTGACCCTGGACACATGCTGTGGTTCTATTTGCATGTGACTCGTACCCCCACACGCGCCAGGCTTAGATAGATAGAATAGAGATAGATAGAATAGAAATAGATAGATGGAAAGATGGATAGATGGATGGAGAGACATTTGTGGAGACAGAGATAGAGATAGAGGGATAGATAGGATAGATAGGATGGATGGATGGATGGATAGATGGATAGATAGATAGATGGATAGAGGGATAGATAGATAGAATGGATAGATAGATAGATAGACTAGAGATAGATAGATATAGATAGATAGATGGATGGATAGATGGATAGATGGATAGATAGATAGATATAGATAGATAGATAGAATATAGATAGATAGATAGATAGATAGATAGAAATTCTTCCAAGAAATAACAACCCCCAGGCAGGATAACTGCTGTGCTGTGACTCGTACCCCCACACGCGCCAGGCTTTGATTGGCTGACGGTACACTCTTTTCTCGCCCCCACAAAGCCTTTCGCATTTACGTCTCCAATTTGCAGTTCTTGTAATCAGACAAGAGGCACCCGGCATCGCTCATCCTGTTGCCATGGCATTCATTTCTTAGATATAATCCAGCGCTCGCCGTGCTCCGGCTCTCTGCGTCGCCCTGCTGCATGACCTATCTCTTTTTAATTATGGAATCTACCTGACACGAACAAGATAATGATTTCAAATGAGAGCTAATGGAGGAAACACAAAGGCTTGTTGAGATCTCTACATTAGCGGGAAGTGCAAACCCGCCTTCTAAGGGGCGATTAATATAAAAGAGGATGAGGCCTACACATGTCCGCTGTGCGTCTATAAAGGGGGAAAAAAGAAATACTGCGTCCTGTGGGATAACATATTACCGGGAAAGCATCTATTAATCACAATGCCTGGGTACTAGGTCACCAATTAAAAATATATTTTGTACTTTGCATTGAAAGCTGCTGCATATCAGACAGACCCGCCTCATTTCCTGGTTGGAGGATATCCAGCATCCTTCAGCCTTTCTTCCCCAGCCTGACTTTCCCTGGCCCACCCCTTTCATTAGATTTCAATTCTTTCAATCATGGAGGCTCAGCTTCAGATGTGGGCATTGCCTAGGGCAGTCTGCATGTAAATACATACTGCCTAGCAAAGTCCACTCCTCCATGGTGCATGAATGTTAGTATCATAGCGAAGAGGATAATAGATTCAGGGTTCTATGATGTTTTCAGAAAGCTATGTGCTGATACATCCTGGCCTCTCCCTCCAGGCATGATCTGCCTTAAATGCATAGTGAAGCACAGAGACCCTAAGATGACATCAATGAATCTAAAATAAGGCATGCAATGGGGGGCTGAACCAAGGAACACAAAATATATTTTAACCCCTAGCCTACAGGGCACTGATACCCCCTTCCTGCCCAGGCCAATTTCCAGCTTTCAGCACTGTCACACTTTGAATGACAATTGAGCGGTCATGAAACACTGTACCCATATGAAATTTTTATCATTTTTTTGAGACAGATAGAGCTTTCTTTTGGTGGTATTTAATCACCTCTGGGATTTTAATTTTTTCTTAAACAAACCAAAAACCACTGAAAATTTTGAAAAAAAAAAAAAGTTTTTTCTTAGTTTTTGTTATACAATTTTGTAAATAAGTGATTTTTCTCCTCACACTGATGTGCGCTAATGAGGCTGCAGTGATGGGCACTGATAGGCTGCACTGATGGACACTGATAGGTGGCACTGATGGGCACTGATGAGGAGGCACTGGTAGGTTGCACTGATGGGCATTGACAGGCATCACTGATGGGCACTGAAAGGCTGCACCGATGGACACTGATAGGCGGCACTGACTGGCACTGTTAGGCGACACTGGCTGGCACTGATAGGCGACACTGACTGGCACTGATAGGCGACACTGACTGGCACTGATGGGTGACATTGAAAGGCAGCTCAGATGGGCACTGATATGTGGCATTGATGTGCACTGGTATGCACTGATATGTGGCATTGATGTGACACTGATGGGCACTGGCACATGGCACTGATGAGCACTGACAGGTGGCACTTCTGGGGCCACACTGATCATCAGGGCACACTGATAATCAGTGCCCTGATGATCAGTGTACATGTCCCCTCCGCGGAAAGCCGATTACCGGCTCTCCTCTCGAGCTGTCAGCGTGACAGCTCGAGAGGAGAGAAATGCCGATAACCAGCATTTCCCTATTTACATGAGATCAGCTGTGATTGGACACAGCTGATCACATGACTGAGCCAACATCTTCGGCTCTTTCCGTGATCCGCTGTGTCCGAGGGACATGCGCAGTGAGAATAGTAGGACGTCATATGACGTCCTATCTGAACGAGAGAACCACCTTGCGCCCGTCATTGTACTATAGGGCGGGTGGAAGGTGGTTAAAGTGGTTATAAAGGCTCAAGGTTTTTTTTTTACCTTCATGTATTCTGTGTGCAGTAGCCCCCAACAATCCTTACCTGTGCCCCCTTCGATCCAGCGACGTTCATGACAGCCTCTGCTGTCTGGAGACTCTTCCTCCTCATTGGCTGAGGCAGTAGTGGGAGCCCATTGGCTCCCGCTGCTGTCAATCACAGCCAGTAAGCCAATGAGGAGAGACCAGGGGGCGGGGTTGAGCCGCAGCTCTATGTGTCTTAAGGACGCATAGAGTAGCAGATCAGGGAAGAACACATCGTGGTTGCCCCCTGGGGGTACTGCTCGAAGGGGAGGAGCCAGGAGCACCTGCAGGGACCTGACAAGAAGAGGAACAGGGCTGCTCTGTGCAAAACCCTGCACAGAGCAGGTAAGTATACGTGTTTGTTATTTTAAAAAAAAAAAAAAGCATTAGCCTGGGTTCACATATATGCGGTGCGGTATATCGCATGTGATTCTAACAGGAACCGCACCGCATTCCTGTGCAAATCACATGCGATTTGTGTGCGGTGCGATTGGAGCCATACAATTCGAACATACGAATTCCGCACCGCATCAGTGTGAACCCGGGCTTAGTGTCACGTTAAGAATAAAAGTAATGACTGAGGCTTAGGCTTCATGCAAACAGGGCATTTGCTTTGCTCCTTTGAAATCCAGAACTCCTGGCAAGAGAAAAGCTGCTTAAACAAAGCGCCTAAAGTCGAGTATTGCGCACACATCTAAGCGTGTCAGGAGTTTGAGCAGTAATGCATTCCTCAGAATATGAATTTATTCTGACTATAGGAATTTATTAACGTTCAAACTTGCCTCAACACATCTAGCGTTCAGACGCATTTAGGCACATTCAGCATGTTTTCTGCTCTTCATTTTTTTTTTCGTCCTGTAAACGTTCCTCCATTAATATGCCTGTAAATGACTATGTGAGTATGGACACATAGGCTAACATAGAGGTGCTTTTACAGGCTGGAAAAAAAAAAGGGCAAACGCCTGTTAAAGCTGCATTTTTAAGCCCAGTGTGCAGAGTGTCGAAATCTCTCAATAATGTACTTGATTGATGTGGACAACACAAACAAAAGAAAGCAATCGAGCAATCAGTCATATTCAAGTTTCCATTCTGTTTTTATTGAGCTCAGAAGTAGTATGTAGCTGTTATTTAACACTTGATACAGGCACTATCTGCTTGTGTAAACCCACATGCTGTTTTTTTAACCAACCTGTATCCACAATGTGATCTGACCCATAGAATTTTAGGCTGCAATCACTCCTGGGCATTTCTGAAACGCACAACAAAGCCACAGAAAACAAGCATTTTGCTGTGTGATTCAGAAACATGCTTGCATTGCCATTAATTGTTAATGACACCCCAAGAGCCAATAACAGATACTCAGCAAATCTACTACATACAGTACATAACAAAATGCAAAGTTCAAAAATGTTCTGCTTCAAAAAAAGTTCTGGAGTTTCTTTGGGGTGTTTGTCATGCACAGGGCAGCCCATTTAGGCTGCATTCACACCTGGGTGTTTCTGAAACGCATGACAAAGCCACAGAAAACACGCATTTTGCGTGTTTCAGAAATGCACTTGCGTTGCCAATTGTTAATGGCACACCATACGCTAGTAGCAGACGCACATTTTGCCGTGCGTTTGTCGAGCAGCAATCACACTACAAAGAAGCCATATTGCTCAGGTCAAAAACGTTCCACACTCCACTCCAAAAAAAGTCTTGAAGCTTCTTTTGGGTGTTTATTGCACCCTACGTGCAAAGGAATAGGCTACGTCAGGGGCGGACTGACAACTCATGGGGCCCCCGGGCAATAGGGGATCATGGGGCCCCTGTGTCCTTGACCAAACAAAAAAGCCTATGAAAAAGGTACCAGGGGTATCTCATGGGGCCCCCTACTGACCCTGGGCCCTCGGGCAGTGCCCGAGTTTCCAAATGGTCATTCTGCCCCTGGGCTACGTACATTCAATGAATAGGCTGCCGTTTGCATGATGAGCGGAAATGCTCAAAAACGCACTAATAGAAGTGTAGATAGTTCCCACTATGCCCAGGTGTGAATGCAACGATGCAACTCTACTAAAACCAACTAATAAAGTTACCATGTTATCAGAGAATGCTATGTTTTAGGAGAAACCTATCATGTAACAAGCAACTGCTGCACTTTTATGCACCTTTCCCCTCTGTGTATTACCACAATTTTGAGTTATTACTCTCATTTTCCAAGAAAAAAAAACTATAGCCTTATTAAAGGCTTACCTGTAGGTAAAACATAAAAAAAGACCTTACTACCACTTTAAAAGGAATTTAAAAAAATAACAAATATATCAAACTTTACACCTCCTCTGTGTAGTGGTTTGCACAGAGCAGCCCCAAACCGCCTTTTCTAGAGCTCCCCCCAGTACTCCTGGCCCCACCCTCCTGCCCAGTGCCACGATAGAAAGTAGCTTGTGATGGGACGCACCCAAGCAGGCTCACTCCTGAACCGCTGCTCTGCATTTCCATTCACACACAGAGAGAAGTCTAGACCCCGCCTCCTCTCTCTCCTCATTGGCTCACTGGCTGTGATTTCTGTCTCAGCCAATGAGGAAGGAGGGAGAGTCCCTGGAGAGCCAAGGCTCTCATGCACATTGCTGGATCGTGGTGGAGCTCAAGTAAGCATTAGGGGGGTTGCTGCTGCACACAGAAGGTTTTTTACCTTCATACATAAAACACATGAAAGTAAAAAACCTTGAGCCTTTACAACCACTTTCAAAATTCAGCAATATTTCAATTCGTGTATGGCCATCTAACAATCAGCTTCTTGTAAACGCGAATATTGGAAAATTCTTGATCCATCAGTGCTGCAGCAAATCATCTGCAGTGCTAATGAGTTTATTCTGACAGTGAAGGAGCCCTGCTCTCAGAATCTAATAGGATTCTTCCATCCAGTTAGATTTTTTGATCAGCTGGCTAGCAGATCAAAAAAAAAAGATCCATCTATGGTCACCGTTAGAGTAGAGGAGAAACTTAAGGGTAGGAAGGCGCAGGAAAGAAAAAGAAGGCGGGATGAAGAACAGAAAAGGGGGGAGACAATGGCAGATGGGTTGGAACAGTCTTGGGGAAGGGTTGAAGGAAAAAGAAAGAAAGAAGGGGTGGAGGGGACGGATATAGGGGATAAATCCCAGACACTTTTTTTTTTTTTTTTTTTAGTTTTGGATAGGTAAGGGAAGAATTAGGTTGAAATCATACGTTTCAGACACATTGTTGCCTTTTGAATGGCATCCCAAAACAAACCCCCAAAGAACCACAACAGATCAGTGCAGCTTGGACCAATGTAAATATTGGTATCTTATACCTAAGGGGTCCTTGGGGAAGCTGACATTCATTGTAGTAGTCAATGAAACTACAGTGATAGCCATAATCTTCTGGGTCCTGTGAGAGGGGCTTCCCCTCTGCACACTGACAACATGGGGTTGCTTGCTCAGCACTGCTGTTATTCAGAGAATGCCTTTTATTTTTTTTAATTTAATGGAAGGCATTCTCTGATTGGACAAGAGAGTGGAGGGATCAGTGACATTACGATGCCCCTCATCTCATCCAATCAGAGAATGCCTTTTATTCGTTGAAAAAATACAAAGCATTCTGTTAATGGCAGCAGTGCAGCGAGCAACCCCCTGTGGTGGAGGAAAAGCTGCTTGACACAGAACATGGAAGATCGCAGCTATCCCTGTAGTAGCGCTGACTACTACAGTCATTGTCAGCACCCTATCAGGTATGATATATGCATACTTACAATGGCCTAAGTTGGACCAGTGTAATGCAGACCATAGATGGGTCGAAAATTGGCCGGAAAAAAAAAATCAGCCGATTTTCGCACAGTTAATGGGTTAATTGGTCGGCCATTTTTCTGGATTTTGGCACATTTTTTTTAACGGTAAAGTTGGAAAAAAAATCGGCCGATTTTGCTGATCGGCCGATTTTCGCAGCAATGATGGGCAAATCGGCCATCTTTTTAACGATAAAAAATCTGCGCATGAGCCGTGACCTGCAAGAAAGAGAAGAAGAAAAAGAAGAAGAAAATGAAGAAGAAGAAAAAAAGAAGAAGAAGAATTCCAGTCTGCTATTATATTTGACATGAAAAAGTATTGCGGTTGCAACAATGTATCTATTTGTATCCGAATAAAAACATCTGTATCCGAAATGGATACATTGTTGCAACCGCTATACTTTTTAATATCAAATATAATAGCGGAGCTCTCTGCAGGGACACCAGAAGTAATTAAATGCCGGCCGTAGACAGGACGAAAATCGGCCGATTTTTTTTACCGTTGGTGGTAATGTCAGCCTATTGAACGACCGATTTTTTCGTTATTTTTTTAAAAAAAACGGCCGGTTTTTGACCCATCTATGGCCTGCATAAGTCTGCAAAAAAAAAAAATTCTACCTGGAGTTCAGCTTTAAAAGGTAACCCCACTTTTTTGGGAAAAAAAAATATCAAATAAAAAAGCATATAGTGTACACAATTGCAACACAAGTCATATTGTAATTCAATGCTATTAAAAATGACATTTCCTTTTCAGTCTGCAGCACTGTAATTTTTTGTAAAATGCAATGTGGCATCCTCAAACCGTTCAGTGCACAGATGCGTGTACAGAACTCCCCCAGGACATGTCATTTCCTGCTTGTGTGATTGGCTGACAGATTTACCCAGAAGTCTGCACTATGATACAAGTCAGATTTTGGGTATCCCCTGCAACAAAAATGTAATTTTTGGTGAGATACTACCAAAGGAATAATCACATCTAAGGGGATGCAGATCCTGCAACGTTCCTCATTAGAGCCCTGC